CTCGGCTCGCGGACGGCGGCCAACCAGCCCAGCCAAAACTGTGGAAACGGGGCGGAGTCTCGCGCTTCTCCTTCCCGCCCACCTGATGACAGGGAAGGGATGCCGTGGCCGCTTCTGGGCGGAAGAGGGACGCGCGCACGAGGGAAGGAGCGGCGAGGAGGGCAGCGGCTGAGGGTGACTCAGCGGTGGCCCTGGCTTCGCGACTAAGTTCAGGGGCCTTTGCACTGAAACGAAGAGAAAACAAGCTCGCGCATACGCTCACTAAAAACATAAAACACCACTGTCACTAATAGAATTGGCCGGGGGCCAGGAATTGCACATATTTTTGTTCTGAACCAACAGGGGTTGTTTTGGTGTGCCCAATGTGGGGTACAGGTACGGTGACTCCACGTCCTTTAGATTTATTTGATTTAATTGTTTTCTTGGTTTTGCTGTTGAATTTTCCTCTGTAAACAAAGTTATAAATACTGTAAAAGCAATTAATTTTTTTATCCTTATGAACCTCTTTCGGATTTGCCCTTTTTTCAAGTTTGTCCTTTATTTTTTTCAAGAAAATATGGTCACTGTAGGTATGGGTTGACGGGCCAGGCTCCATTTCTTAAAAACAGTTAAGCCTTGTGGCTAATATAATGGTTTGTGGGAATGACCTTGAGAGACAGGAGGGAGGGCAGCATGTAAAATATGTCTCAGCCCACAGAAGGAGGGAAGGTGTGGGAAAGGTGTTGTCCCAGGTATTGTCTAGCGTGGCATGCAATTTTGTCCAATAAAACACACCAAGGGTGGAGTTAATGAAGTATTTATTCTGCACAGAACAAAGATGATGCATGGGAATGATTTCCAGAGCGTGCACCTACGCTCTCAAGAGTTTTTATACATTCTTGCAACAAGATGCAAAGTCATAAATTGTACATTCTTCAGCCACAGAGCAATAAGCTACGCGGAATATGGAATTCTCAGCCCACAGGTACACTTGCGTTGTCCTGCTTTTTACGGATACTAAAGAGACACCTGCATATGCCATCCTTATCACTTTCGGTTGCCTTACATCCTTTCCTCCCTGATCCTCGCTCATGCGCATCGTTAACTCTTTTGCACACTGCCCTACTATGCGCTCATTACTAAAGCTGAAAAGACAAGCGACATCAGCATAATTTCCTTGTGCACTTTTGCCTTGCCTAAAGCTAATTATAATGTTAACTCTCCATCCAGGGATGGTGTAAACTGCTGACTGCCCTATCAGAGGGACCCTCCCTAGTTTTCTGGAGAGTAAAAGGAAAGGAGGGGAGAAATACTTTCAGTCTTGCAAGATTCTGTTACTGTAATCTTACAATAATACTCCTGGCTGTGCTTCTCGTCTGGATTACCTTGTAGGCTCCCACTGCTCACAACACACCCATTGGCATGTGCAGGAGAGAAGACCCAAGCCAATACTTCATTCTTTTCCCATGGGTGGGATTTGTCTCTTAAGGTTCAGTTGGCTGTGCAGCGGTGTGTGTAGGTACAAAAAGAGAAGGACAGCTCTGCCTGTGGAAGGCTGCATTGGCACTGGGGGCAAACAGGAAGGGAAGCACTGTTGAAATAGGTTGTAGACCCCACCCTGGGATCATGTGCACACTGGCAACTTTCAGCAGCATAATGGGAAGTGTTTGGGTGTTGCCCCATCTGTTTGTCCCCCTTATCTACAACAATAAATCTGTGAATTTATTTACAGCTGTGTATTCCATAGGCTGTTGCAGTCCCCCAGCAAGGGAAAGACTTCCCTTGGCCCCAGTTTGCTAGGCCTGAACCCCAGAGAAACTCTGCCCAATACGAAGGGAGAGTCTGAGCCTTTCCAGGCCATGTTATGTATTATTGTGGCTGCTCTGGGTACAGGTGAGAGGAAGGCTCTGAAATCCATGCCCCATCATATGTAATGGGAGTCGACTGCAAAGTTGCAGCCACGGTAATCTCACCTGTCTTAGTAGCGGAAGGGGAGCTCTGTACCTCACTTAGCCTCTGCTGTATTTGGCTTGTGCTGTGTCAGTCATGTCTGGGAAGAAATAGTAAAAACAATCTGAGAATACTCCCTGAGTTGCCATACTGTGATAAATGCAGGTTCCAGGTTGTTCTTCTACACAGTGTGTCTATAGGGAGAAACAGCTTAGGATGAGTGGGGACTGTGTGGAAGGGGAAGTGGCAGTGTTTGAGCACAGCATAGAACGTGACAGGTTTCCTTCAGGCAGCAGCTGCCCAATGCTACAGTGTTGGGGAAGCAACATACCCCCACTGCCCCATGCATATCAGAAAGCAGTACTCCTTCTGTTGCAGTGTTCTGCTAGCCACCCAAAGCTACCTCATGGCATGGTACCATGAGGATCTACAAATGGTGACCTCCCTCATGCCCACAGAAGAGCCTCTAGAATTCTGCCTTTAACTGCTTAAATCCTGTCCAGACTTGCTGGACCTTCCCTCTCAATCCTGCACACAATAAGACAGAACACAGCAGTGGAAGTAGGAAGAACTGCTGATAAAGAATCCCTCTCCCAAGATGCATGGAACAGCTGGAAAGGATCTCAATATCGTCAACCTGCTGGCATGCCCCGGCCTTAGCATCCGTGCTGCATGAGAAGGCAAGAGCTGAAAAGCTGTGAGGCTCTAGGAAAGGGACAATCAAATGACAGTGTAGCAAAATTACCTCTGGCGAAAATCCTTTTATAACTGCATGCAACAGATGGTGTGCTCAATAACATGACCAAAAAGCCATTCAGGGGTGAAAAGGCAAGAGTTGCAAGCACATTCGGGAGATATCTTGGGAGGCCTGCTTTGAGAACAGCAATGGGCTTGCAAGAGTGGTGATGTGAGTGGTGAGTCCCATTAGATGCCTGACCAGGAAATATGTGATTATATGTTTATACTCATGTTCTTATATGTATATTCAAAGAGATATAACCCAGTGCTTGAGGATAGTGACTAGACTAGAGGGTAAGAACAAAAAGGTATCAAATCCTTTGTGAGGTGGTCCACCACATGATGAAGCAGGGAGGGCAAAAAGAAGAAGAGATGCTAATACTTTGGTTGCACTGAGGGTTCAATTTCCAGGAGGGAAGCACCAATCACTACCCTTAAAATGAGAAAGCATATGAGAAAAAGGACACCTAGGGATATAGTAGTGGACTCAGAGCAAGTGTGCAGCAAGACACTGGGCTTGCAAGATTGGGGACAAGTAGGATTCCCATTGACACCAGCATGTAATGAAAGCACAGACAGAAAGATATGTAGATCTAATAATATGTTTTAATAAACTCCCACCATGCTTCAGTGCAATGGCAGATGCATCTTGAATGTATAGGTGTATATTTCTGGTTGCCATCTTTCATCTGACGGAAGCTTATAAACAATTATGAGAAATACAGTTTCACTGTTAATAAATTTCCTCGTTGAGTAGAACTGTATCTGTTGTTTTTCTTCCATCAAGCAGCATTTTAAAAGCACAGAAAAGGCTGTAGTAACTAAAAGGTAGAAATCCTAGGTATTCTTGATGTCTAGAAAAAATATTTTAAAAGTACACACCTAAAAAAAAAGTACCAGGAAGCAAGTTCGTTTGAAACCAGGAGTAATTAACTAATGTGTTGAAAATATAGGGATTAGGCAAACTGAAAGTTTAGTGATTTGTGAAATACATTATCTAAGTATACAGGAGAAAATAATTGCATACTTATGATAAAATTACAATCATGTCCAGCAAAGTGTTTAACTTAGTCATTAATGTATGCTGCCATTTTTAACAGCTACTCCTTTTGTTTTTCATGTAGATCCTGTTTGAAATAAAAACAGACGTTATTTTGAATCATCAGTAATTGTGGTGCTGAGTAATAAAGATTTATTTCTTGGAGTTTGAAATAACATGCATTGTAAGCAGGAAAATACTAACCAACTTTACATCATTTCACGTTGATCTGTTAATTATTCTGGAAATTGAATGAGAAGCTGGGCTACAATGAGAAGGTAGCAGTTCATATAATCTTTATCTTTGCAAATGTGTGTAAGGGAGGATCTGATCTTGCACCCTAAGAGACTGTATGTGGAAACCTAACTGCTATACACTCTCTTTTTTGAAGGCATTTTTGTATCACCAGTATAGTATCCCAAAGTGGTATTATGATTCTGTTTCAGTAGTTTGTGCTCCCTGATTCAAGCATTTCTAATTTGGGCTGAAAAATTACTGTGGTATGAAATTCTGGTTAGCTGCTGTCAATCACTGTAAATCAGGAGGAGGCAATGCAATTTCCATGGGTATCAGAATGACTGCAGATACCTCCCTTAACATCTGTCAGACCCCGCATCCCATCTGGCTCTTTTTGATAGCTTTTTCTTTCTTTAAATCAAAAGAGCTCAGAAGCAGTGCTTCAAGTATTATCTGAATTTACAAGAATGTATCTGGACCACAGGTAATTTTCACAGGCATTCTCAGAAAATAAATATGATGAGCTGCAGCAGTCCTGGTGCTTTGTTTCAAAATTTTACCTTTGTTT